GGAGAGTTGCCCAGACCAACAGAAGAGCAACAGTGTGTTAAATAGCGGAGTATGAAGGTGCAACTGCTAACGTTTCTGAACGAACTATGCGCCGCACTGTATAAGTTAGGGGAGCCGACGACCTGTTCCAAACCTAGAAGACGTTTCCAGTTTGCAATGGTGCATACACAGAGCCTGACTAAGGCAGGGGCATACGGGGCAGTTGCCCCGGGCCCCACATCAGAGGGGGCCCCCAATTCGAATAAAAAGTTCATTTTAGGTTTCCTTCTGTAATGAACTTTTTCTTTAAACAAAATAAAATCCGTCAGTTTTATGTTGGCTTCTTCATTAATGTATTGTATAAACACAAAAAATCTATAATGCGTAAGTAAATCCATGACTTTCTAGGGCGGAATTCAGCTAAACTTTCGAAATTACGATGGACACGTTTGGCCAATCAAAAGCCTGTATTTTTACATATCGCAAAATGCGATACGTTTACAAAATACATGCTTCTGATTGGCCTAATTGAGCCACCATAATTGCGGAAGTTTAGCTAAATTTCGCCATAATGTCAGCAAGGATATAATTGGATGTGGGGTTTTCACAGCTAGGTGACAAAATTAACAATCAGAAAATTACCTTCGGCATGACGGAAAATTAATTGTCAGAAAATTAATAAAATGGACCGGGAATTTATAGCTATTTTAGGTTCTAGTTAATTTTCTTGTTATATATGTATTATGAGGTGAAAAATTTAAATACCTCTATAAAGTTTAGTTCTTCATTACTGAAGTAGTGAAGCAGAGGGGGCCCCCCAAAGAAGTTTTTGCCCCGGGCCCCAATTAGGCTAAGTCGGGCCCTGTGCATACAGATTGTACAGTAGATAACTGGAAAAGGGTCATGTGGTCTGATGAATCGTCTGGGCATCAAACAGCTGGATCCAGTTCCATCCAATCTGACGGAACTGAAAAGTGCAGTTCAGCGGATATGGGGTCAAAATCCACCTCCCAACATCTCGGAATTTATGCCAAGAAGAATTCGAGGTGATTTTACGGGTTAAAGGTGGTCATAATAATTTGGCCACTCAGTGTATATCTTGTCATATTTTACATTTTTTATTTCCCTGAAACTGTTTTGTCTTCAATTTTTTATTTCGTTTAAAAGGGTGGGAAAATTAGCACTCATAACAATTCAAATTTTAAAAACTATTTTTTCTTGAAGCAATTTTGTTAACAAAATCACAAATGATTTGAATTGTAGGTTTAAGAAGTTTCATTTAGAGCGAAAGGTAAAGCGGCAAAAAAGAACTAAGTTTTTGGAATCACACTTTCCAAAATTGAAGCTTATCTCTATAGTTTGAAGGTAAGAATCTGTGGAAACAAATTTTTTTTCGAGGAAGTACGAGTATGAAATTGGTGGAACAGTTTTTTAATGCAACTAATTTCATAATTTTTGCAAAAAAGTTTTTGATTTGTATAAACAGTTCCTCTGGTTTTACGAAGAACGCAAAAAGTCAAATAACCTCTTGTTTACTTCGGTCAACTTATGTGAACCTCAGCTTCTAAAAACACGTTATAAGAAAATTTATAGTTCTACTCTAGTGAGAAACATTTATGGACTTTTAAGCTTTTTGGGGATTTCTCACTCGATGCATAACATGTAAGTTATTTGGGTAGAATTCCACATAAACAGAAGTGATTTTCTTTTCAATGTGAGTTCATTACTTGTTCTGAAAAGATTTCTGGAGGCAACTAGGTTGTCCAGCACTGGAAGCTTGTTTTTACAGTTTTTTGAATTTAGGATTAATCTACGTATAGTACGCTTTCGCTTTGTCTGTTTATTTATAGAATTTAATTGCATTTTGAATTAAAAATCCCTACCTCCTTATATTATTACTCCCCTTTGTCACTCTTGTTACATGCCACGTTACATTACATAAACATATACTACTAGCAAGGGCGCCGGCAGCGGGGTGCACTTGCAACCCCCTGGCTTTTTTTTTTTAAACAATTGAAGAGTATAAAAATTTTTTATTGAGAATATTTTTATTCCAAAACAAATAATTAAGTAATTATTGATACATAACAATTAGAAAACTGTTTAATCAAACAAAAATTTTAATCATTTTGTTAGCTGTTCAAATCTGTTTATAACTTTTTCAATGAATTCTGAGTCATCTTTGATTCTTTTCTTATGCACACTGAGCATGCACAAACTGCTTAACCTCTCGTGAGGCATTGTAGACCGATTCCATATTTCGATGCGTCGCATTGTACTAGAAGTGCGTTCAATAGAGTACGTAGTAGCTGGAAAAGTTAGGCTAATTTTGATTGCCTCCGTTATAGCTAGATCAAACGGTGTGGCCTCAATAACTAAATCGATGAAGGATTCTTAAGAATTTTCTCTATTGATCGTGTCACCGTTTTAAACAATATATCTCTAAATAATTAAAACAAATTTTCACTTCAAACTCACCAGAATTACATGATAACATATTTATCTTATGAAATACGGCAGATTTGAGCTCAGAATTTACTTCATTTATTTCTTTTATTGAAAACAAAATTATCCGTTTGAAAATATCGCCTCGCAGAATAACATGTAGTAAGCAACTGCCAACTTTCTAACCGGAACTAGAGCAGGCATACAGCTCGAGATTGTTATTTTTAACATTTCTACCGAAAACACCATCCATTCCTCCACATTTCGTACCACGTACTTTTTTTAAATGTCTTGTTAACAATGAAGAAATGTATCTTGAAGGAAATTAACAGATGAAAGTATATATAATAACAAAACAAAATGTGATAACAGAATATTTGCAATTTTTTGGGGTTAGGGGGTGGGGAGTAGTTTGTTAGAGGGTTGCACCCCCTTTTGTATTATTCTGCCGGCGCCCTTGATTGCGTTTGAAGCCTCTCTTTACTAAACAAGCGGTGAAAGCAGTTGCCAGAATCGTTGAAAAATGCTGCTTTTTGTATCGCCACTCCACTATTTATTTTTAACTAGCTACAAGTTAGGAGAAAAGTAACGACTACATCAGTTTTGCTACTTGCAGTGCGCTAACCTCCGTCCACTGGATAAGATGCGTGCGTATTTCGATGGAAAAAAAATCTAAAAACTAATTAAATTATATAAACTTTGTAGTGTAATTTTAAATTGTTTCATTCTAATGAAAATGTGTGATGTCACATTTCTTTACCCGTTCCCGAAACTGGCATGATTTTATGAACCGCTTCCTCCCCTCCAAGCCTGACATCACTTACAAACGTCATTTTCAGCTATCAACCTTCATCTACATTTTCCTTAGGTCTTGTGAACCTTTGAAACCAACCCAGTTAACGAGTCAACTGGAGTAAGCATCGTAACAAATTGGCTGTCGTAAAAAGTTTGTTTTTAACACCAACTCACATTTGCATTGTTAACTTCGAAAGGTCTACCATGTTCCATTGTAAGCTACCATGCGTCAGTAGCAGTATACAAAATAATCGTAGGACTTGGAGGTTGCGAACCTGAATCGCACTATTTTGAGTGAATTTTTCATGTTTTTTTAGGGTGATTTCTTGTTTGTATAGCACAGAAAAATAATTCCACTTTGATTATTTATAAAGTTGACTCGCACTTGCAACTTTGAAGGCAGCTGGGTTTTATGCCACAAAGCTAACTTCTCTCATTATTACATGCAAAACAGAAGTATATGATAATTAACTCCCAGAAAGCATGTAACCTTACGACAACCTTGTGTTTTAACTTTATTTTCATTGTCACGAAAAGGTTTGCAGTAAAAACCTTTTTTTAATGTCGTAAAAATATTGCAATTTCCTACCTTTCCTCCTTAAAGGAAAAGTAAATGATTTTTAAATCTTTTCTAAAAAATATTGTTATTTAGGTTTAAAAAACAAGCAAATTGTAAACCTTATTTTTTGCATTTTTGTTTGCTGTCATGATTAGATTAGCAGAAATATTAAGCGAAAACCTTTTTCAAAGGAAACGAAATAAAGCAAATATTAACCTTTTCAGCGAAAATATTAATAAATAATAAGAAAATATTTTGCAAAGGACCTCATTTAAAGGAAAGCAAATAAACGAGCATAAGACCATGATTTTGGATTGTTTTTTTAAAGTCTGCGAAAGTACAATACGAAAACTTTCTTTGAAAGGTTTCTCGACACAAGTATAAGTAATAGTTCTTTTTTAGAAACTTTTCATTCAAACAATCTCATTAAAAAATAAATAAAATGTAAACTTTTTTTTATCTGGAGTTTAAAATTATCTCTTCAATATTTTTTTACAAATTTTACTTTTTTCTCGAATTTGGCTTTAGGGATCTGATGCGTTGCGGCTCCTTTAAAATGTCTGGCCTTCTCTCGTTTATTTTACCTTATTGCAAACCTAGTTATGGTATAGCAATAAAATATCCGCGAAGATAAATTTTATTTAAAATATTTATATACAGAAAAAANCAAGGTTTTGGATTAGGGTAATGTGCGTAGAATAGATCAGATTGTCGCAGACCTCGTTTTAAGGTTAGAAGGTTTACATGTAAACCGTGTAAAAACCCTTTTTAGGTTTACATGAAAAGGTTTTTGTTGGGTGAAAAAAACCTTATATTGCTATCTGGGACTGTATTTGGGCCAGATTTAAATGTCTTGTTAACCTTTTTTAGAATTGACTTCAAAACTCAACCATATTTGTCCAAATATCTCAGTGATATGGATCTTCAGGGCCAACATTACACGCAAAAAACTTGCAAATGCGTGTGAGAACTTGATTGGTAGTTTTTTTCGTGGGTAAAATTTAATCAATCAGGCTCTCTGTCAAACCCACAGGTCGTCGGGCTACCGAAGGTGGGTGCCATCCCCTCTGCAGTGGATCAAAATTGTGATGGCATGTCTTCGGATCAAAACCTCAGGGATGTTTCCCAGACCGTCGCCAATAGCCCATTGTGCAGCCCTAGTGCAACATAAATTAACTACAGCAACAACAATTGTCACACCCACAAAGTTTTTAATGTAGTGAGAACGACTCCTGAGATATAAAAACATCCTAGATAATTTTCTTAAATTCGAGCACGTTAACTGTGACGAACTTTAACTGTGTTCATCAAAAATACTTTTTGTTTACATTTGGATACGGTATGTTGTGCGGTATTGTAATATAGGTATTAAATAATAATAATGTCTTATAATTTCATTTCTTGAGTATATTATTATTATGGGGAAAGTTTTGTATGATGTTTTACTTCCAATTTTTATTTAAGAGGAAATCCTGCTTATTTAATCAATTATGCTAAAATACCCAATTGAAAACTTGTTAAATTTAAACCTTAAAATTTCTTTTTTACACTTTTTATTGATGATGATGTAGCAATTCATGCGATTTAATAAATTTTTTAATTTGGAACATTTCTATTGCTTATATTCGCAATCTTATAGAAATATGCTCGTAACAATCTTACAGAAATATTTTTAAAATAGCAAAAGGGTGATATCATATCACTCTCTTTTTATATTCTACAACATTTTCGTCTATATCTATATGATATAATTTATTATGCCAGTGTTTGATGTGATGATTATAGTGTTTAATGATTATAGTGTTTGACCTTTACACCTAAGTAAAAGTGATTTGTTGAAGAGGGTCTGTTATAAATTATTGTGATGTTCTGTGGGATTTAAAAAAAATTACCCTACATCTGAAAAAAAAAAAAAAACATTTGAGAAAGTTTGACGAATTCATAACAGGCTTGAATCTTCTGAAAGAAAATAAAGAATTACAAGTTCAAACTTAGCTAAAGTTATTGTATATTTCTAATGTTTATGAATGTAACTAATAGTTATAATAAAGTTGATTCTTTCAAATGATATATTTTCTAAAATTACATGTAGGTAATGTTTTGTTGAATATTTTATAGAATTGAAGTTTCAAAAGAAATAAGAGTTATCTTTTTACTTCAGTGTTGCTAATTATAAAATAACCTTGCTGCATAATTAATTTAATTATATGACAGTAGACTCCTTTCTATTTGGTCTTAGGGTTACCACAGACGACTATTTGCAACTATTTTTGACCTGAGGCGACTTTATTTGTCGAACTTATTTTGCCTGAGAAGTATTAGAAAGCAACTACACTTCATAACAAAAATATCGACGCACCAAGAAGCAATCATCCGATTGCTTTGAAATTTCGTATGCATGAATGTGATGCCGACTGAGGACGTATAGTCTTTAGCGACGAATCCCGCTTCCAACTGTGTCCTGACGATCATCGAAGACGTGTTTGGAGACGCACAGGGCAGAGGGGGGATCCTGCCTTCACTATTCCACTCCACACCGGCCCTCAACAAGGCATTATGGTCTGGGGTGCCATTTCCTTTGACAGCCGGACCCCGTTGGTCGTCATTAGAGGTACACTTACTGCGCAGCGGTACGTCGACGACATCCTAAGACCAGTTTTGCTACCGTTCCTTTCGCAGCGCCCTGGTCTGGTTTTTCAGCTGGACAATGCCAGACCACATACGGCACGTGTTGCTATGAACTGTCTGCAAGCTTGTCAAACTCTTCCTTGGCCTGCCAGATCACCAGATCTCTCTCCCATTGAGCATGTATGGGATATGATGGGAAGGCGATTGCATCTGGCACGGAATGTTGATGACCTCGTTCGACAATTGGATCGAATTTGGCAGGAAATAATGCAAGAGACCATCCGGGAGCTTTACCGGTCTATGCCACGCCGTGTGGCAGCCTCTATCCAGGCTAGAGACGGGTCTACACCTTATTGAACTTGTTACTGTAACTCTGCAATAAATTATTCAATTGTTCTCAAATTTTAATCATTTACTATTCTGTACATTGTCTTCCTATCCATCAATTTTCGTTTCAATCGGACAACTCCTTCTTGGTGCATCGATTTTTTTGTTATAGAGTGTATTTTCATGAAAAGGAGACTTTTCTGTACTCATAGCAATGTTTTTTAACATGAATTGGGATGACAATCTGCTACCCGCGGGAGCTTATGAACAGAATGAATTCTTTTTACTTAATAAAAGATGTTGAAAATTTTCGATTGCAAATTTGAGTCATCACTTTTTAATGTTCTTAATTTGCCCTGATTCTATTGTAAGTCTAGTTTGTTTATCGATCGTCTTTTAAACGGTTATTGCTACGAAATTCTGCATGATTTTAAAAAACCCAATTTTTAATATGATATTACGATGTGAGAATTTCAAATTTGANTCAAATCAATTATTGATAAAAGCGAAAAAGTTTAGACAAAGTATGTTTTTTTAATGAAAAAGTATTTTATTCTGAAAATATACTAATTTTTTTACCTTAAAATTTAATGCTTGAGCACTAACGTTTATATAAAAATTATCATAATTGCAAATTTGCAACCAACTTGACTAAATGGATCATGGTATATGACAATTAAGTCATTTAATAAAATTGTAATTATATTATTGAAATTTTTTTTATCCTTATTTGGGCAAAACTATTTTCATAGTTTTCGGCAACTATTTTCATGCTTTAGGCTACAAAAAGCAACTATTTTGCTCATTTTTTTTGTCTTATACAAAATTTGGATTTTTATTTTTGTAGCAATAAGAATTTACAAATGATTTATAATTAATGGCAAACTATTTTCAGGTTTTAATGGCTTTCAGACAGTTTATTCAGAAATTTATCTCTCCTATATGGTTCTATCCATCACTAAGCAAAGATATTGCAAAAAGAGGTATGTTTCTTTTTTTCTGTTTATTGATGTACAAGGTATTCAGTAGGGATGTAACGAATAGTGATATGGCCAAATATTTCATATTTGGCTTAAAATATTGGCTTAATATCAAATATTAAATGGTCGAATAACATATTTTTTTCAATAAAATTTTTTTTATTAATACTATCTTTTATTTATAAATAAGTTTAGTTTTTATTGAAAAATAATCAAAACTTGGTTGTATAAATGGTATAGGGTAAAAAATGTTTAAGATGATTAGAAATATTTAAGATAAATAAAAAACTGACCATCAGAGGCTAATAAAAAACCTATTAGTTGTAATGTTGAAAAAAAGAGAAATAAAAAAAAATCTATCTTAAAACAAAACTTTACTGCTAAAAATCTAAAAATAATATTTTCACTAAAAAAAATCTCCATAAAACGTAAAGAGAGATAATGGCTTTCAGAAATGCTTTTAAAAATGCAGTGCTATCATAAAATTTCTAATAAAAAAAGGATTATATTCAAACGCAGAACAAAAAAATAGAAATCGATCTTAATTTTTGAAAGAGAAATTGATCTCAGTTTTCCAATTACTGTATTTTTAAGAAAAAGTAAAGTTGAAGGTCTATTTAAAGCGCTCTTAATTGCCGCATCGTAATATAAACATCGATGAAGATAAAAGCTTTTTAAAGAAAGAAAAAATTGGATAGAAACCAAAACATAAATTGTTCTTAATTCTTAAATGAAAAATTTCACGCTCAAAATCTCAATGTAACTTCTTCACATTGCCACATTTTTGGAAGAAGCGACAATAAAAGAATGAGATGTGTTTTTTGAAAAATGCCATCATAATAAAAATGCTGATAAAAAGAAAAGTTACAAATAAGAAAAGCTAAAGAGAAACAGAATTTTTTTTTTAAAAATTAGTTTTGAAACATAACTTTAACGTTGTGAATCACAGTTTTCTATGTTACCCTATTATCTATCTTACCATATAGAAAAATATTGATAACAAAAGAATAAAGTCTATTATAAACGCTTCGTTATAATGCTGCGCTCTAGTTAATACAGAAAAACTAGCAAAAATGAAACAAATAATGAATAAACAAGAAAAGTTCTCAATTATTAAAACATTAAGTGCTGAAAAAAGGACAAAATTGACTTACCTGAATAAAATTTAAAAAAAAAAAAAATTTCACCAGCTCAAAACTCATGATTCAGCATGAAGTAATCTCGTTTCAATTTTCCATTTGTCTTTCAGAATATAAATTAACAAGTTTAAGAACTTAACAAATATGTAAAAACAGTTTCTAATAAAATGCATAGTAAAAAATATGATTCTAAATTATTCTTTATTAAATCTANCCCAAAAAATACTTTGCCGAATATTTGGCCAACCGAATATTCAGCAAAAAGGCCAAATTTGAATAGTGGCCAAATATTCGTTACATCCCTAGTATTCATTAGTAAAAAAATTAATTGTTTTGATGTTTTTTGTCACAATGTAATTCTTTAGTTGGCTTAATTTTGCATTGATTATTCACAAATCACAAATTCATATATCACAAATTTCATTTATCCTTTCTGTTTTGATCGTACACTTTAATAATCACTTTTCAACACGCTTGATAACATTGTAAATCAGTGATTTTTTTCTTCTTCTTTTCTCTATTGCTATTAACAGGGTATCTGCCCACCTGGAAAGTCATGAGAAATCGTGGAAAGTCATGAATTTCAGTATTGAACAAAATTTGCCATGAAATGTCATGATTTTAACTACTTTTTTAAAAAAAAAAATCATGAAAAGTCATAGAATTTAGATTGCTGAAAAAACTAATTTTTAGAATGGAATTTACACCCTCCCGCCAATTTCATGGTGTACTAAATATCTGAATTTGTAATAAAATCCCCACTCACAGTCATATTTTATTAAAATATAAATTTTTTTATCATGTTCTTAAAAAATTATGGTATTCTTTCAAAAAATGAAGGAAAAAATATCATTTCTAGCACGAATTATCTTTTAAATTTCTGTGATTTCCGAAATTTTGTTATTATTTATTATTTTTTTTTTATCAATTTCAAATTCTAGCTGAAGCAAATAAATCATTGGCCAATATTTTTAATTCCGAAATGAGAACAGAAAAATCAAGAGTATTTCTTTCCTTTCCGATGAACAGGAAAAGTATCTTTAGAATATAATTCTGCAGAAAAAAAGAAAAAAAAAATTTTTTTTGTATTTTTTTCAGCTGCAACTCTTTCTTTACTCTGCTTTTTAAATTTAAAATCTATAAATATGTAGATGCAGAGTATAAAAGTTTTGGTTATAATTATCATTTCAATTTATGTTATTATAATGCTTTTTTAAATTTATTGTTGTGTTTTTGTCGAAGAAAATAGTAGCTTCGTTAAGTTAGCTCGTTAATTTTCTCGTGGTTTTTAAAATTTCAATGTCATTACCGCACACAAAATTTGAGTTGCACATTTGAGTAATCTGTTTTTGATGTGCTTGATTTGTGTTGATACCATCCTAAATCGATGTGCTGTTTGGATCATTTTATTAGTCAGTATTGCTACGAATTTTCTCAATGTTTTTTTTAACAAAATCTTTTTATTTTTTATTACGGCTCGCAAAATTCAATTCGTGCATTTCTTGATGCCCCTTGACGCGATGTTATCACTATTTTTTTCAATCCACTTCAATTCAAACTATCTCATGTAAACATGAATTAACATTTCTTAATAACTCCTCATATTTAACTAAGCCAATTTTCTATTCAAAACCATTCTGAACATGGGTGTAAATTAAGCCCTCCAGTAAAGTTTGTCTTTAAACAGTAATAGTGGGACTACATTTCTAAAGTAGTTTCTAGTTGCTACATTAAAAAAAAAAGAAAAAGTAGTTAACAATTGTAATATAGTAGTAGTTAACTACAAAGAAAATGTAGTTTTTCTGACCACAGCATTTGCAGGGGTCTGTCCAGACATTTTGTGAAAGGTCCTGTTTTTGTAAAATTGCGAAACAATTACTTGTAATCTGTGAATATAAAATAAACGTTAAGTCAGATTCTTTCAACCAGGGTCCTGCTTTTGTGAATTTGTGCAAATAGGGTCCTGTTATTGCGAAAAACTTTTTCTAGCAGTTTTTAAATTGTGAATAGATACAAGATTATGCTCAACACTGTTAAATTGTAATTAAAAAAAATTAAATTTTCAAAAATAAACAGCATTTGCTGCTACTAAATTAGAGATGCAACATGCAAATATTTGGTATTTACCCTATACTGCTGAATGCAGAATATTCATTTCGGATGAATAGAGGAAGAAGCATCTGCCGAAGACAAAACTTAGTCATGTGGTCTTTCTATTTTGTCCCCCGCCCCCCGGGAAAAGTTTATTCGATTAACAAAACAATAATGAAGATAAACAAATTTGTGAAGGGTCCGATTAAAACATAAATTATTTTGCGAAGGGTCTGTTTTTAAGTTAAAATATTTTGTGAAGGGTCCGTTTTTATGGAAAGATATTTTGTGAAGGGTTCGTTAACGGACCCAAATTTCTTCTAAACAGACCCCTGATTTGGATATGTCAGAAGGCTTCAGAGGCCATAGGCTATGCATTCCTGCCCTGTATTTGTCTGACTGTTTGAAATTCTGATAGTGTTAACAAGTAAATGTGAAGTTGTTGAAGGACACCTTTTGGTTTGGGAGCATTAAAAACTCATTTACTTTTGATTTGATTTTATAAACTAAAAGTTTTTCTGTATGACTTTTGAACTTACGTTATTTTTTAATCTTTAAATAATTTTTTTGCAGGTAATCTGAGTAGTTTTGTATGGGATAAAGCAGTACCAATTAAAAAAAATGAAGCAAGTCCTGTGAAGAAACTTGACTCATTGGTAGTTGACAAACATGTTGCGCATCATCAAAATAATAAGTTTATTGACTTATTCACAAACAATCCTCACAAAAGCTTTTATATGCCAACAATCACAATAAACACTTTAAAAGTCTACGAGGACTTGCTCCGAGTTCCAAAGTCGATCGTAGATAACAGGGTGATAATTACTAAAATTGATCCTTTAATACCAGAGAGGCCTCAGAAAAAGGAAGCAATCCGTATGATTCGCATCCGCAGGCGAAAAATGCGAAAGCACAAGCTTAAAAAGCTGCGAAAGAAAATGAAATTTGTTTTCGCGAAAATCAAACTTAGGAGACAATTAAGAAAAGAAACAGAGTTTCGCACCGAGTTGCTGACTCAAATAGAAGCTGCTGATAAATTTGATGCAAAGGAATATGTTGCGAATATAATGCATACAATTAGGTATCATCCTAAACCAGAAACTGAGGAAGAAAGGAAAGAAAAGTATAGATTAAAAATAAAGGCTCATAGATACAATACAACATTTGTGAGGCCTAATTTTGATAATGATTGACTGTTATGTTGATTTATTTAATGTAGTGATATGTTAACCCAATAAAATTTTAGTTGTTTGTCAAACTTGAGAGATATTTTTTACATTTGAATTCTCTGTGATGAAGGTTAAAATTAAAAGATTTAATCAATGCATTGACAGTTTTCGTTGTGCTGTAATTTCTTTTCAATCCATTATAAAAGGCTTAGAATTAAAGTGCTTCTATTTAAAGTAGAAGTAAAATATAAAATACAGATATATGCTATATATAAAATACTATTGGCAGTGATAAGATATTTATCTTCATTCTATATTTTGGTACTGATAAGGGTATAAAGTAGTATCTAGAGCCCAAACAGACATGTTGTTTCAGTGCTATCAAAAATACAATTTTGAGATTTATCATCAGAATAGTACCAATATACACTACCCTACAATAATGGAAGAGACACTTTCAGTTTTTGAATTTTTTTACAAGCTTATTGCTTGATTTTCTGGCATAGGGTGTTCAATAATAATTGTTATCTTTCATAATTTATTGTAGGTCTCTCAAACCTTTAAACTTTATTGCTAAGTATGAAAAATCACATGAAGTAAGCTCCTTCTAAAGTTGCAAAATAATCCTAGTAAAAGTATTTCTTGAGAAATTTAAAAAAATGTCAAAAACTGAAAGTGTTTCTTCCATTATTCTAGAGTAGTGTAGTGAAATGTTAGAGTGCCAAGATTGTTTATCTCTTTTTAAGTTAAATATTAGTGCTTTAGACATTTTTTACTTTATACCATCATCTGTAGTATAATTGTTCTTTTATTTAATGCTAGCAGCTTTATCTAGTGCTTCTGTTGTGGGAAACATACTTTTTTGAGTGATCTGTATAATCATTATAGCTTGTGATATTACTATTTTATAATTACTTTTGTGAGCACCCTGATTAGTATTATATATACTCTCTTTTTAGCTATACTATGAATTATCCTGTTGAATTGAATCTTGGTATATAGCTTAAATTGGTTTTTGATTTAACTATACTTATTTTTTATAGTCAAGGTTTTACACAATCGAAATTAAGATTTTTGAAAATTATTAATGGCTAACATTTTGATAATCTGTTTCGGAGGACTAATATCACTGCTCTAAAATTTTAAAAAAAAATTTTGTCTTGTAACAAATTATCTTGAATTACAGACAGCTCCTTTTTTTGCCGTTGTTCTTTACGGTGTCTTTATGTTATTAATTTTATCAAAAAACAAATTAGAAGTTCAACTCCCAAAAAGACAAGTATTATTCAACCCCTTTATGCAGGACTTGACGTCGTAGGAATACCAAAAACCTGATTTTTGAACACTTTTAGTGTATCTAACAAATATACAGAGTTGTCTGCTGCTATGAAAAAAATTAATAATTCATTTAGATGCTTTTGATGCATATCCATAGCTGCCAACCCTTCCGCATTTTGCAGAAGCTTTCCGCATTTTTACTTATTTTAGCTATTTTTTCCGCTTTTACTTGCAGAAGATAAGATCTTCTGCATTTTACCTGTCCGCCCGATAGCTAGTATTTTCTTTAAGTCAGACTATATTGACTATACCCCACAGCAATGCTGAATGCGAAAGGGTGTTTTTTGCAGTAAAAAAAATAGGACTCGATTCCGCTCATCAATGTCTGATGAGACTCTCGAAAAACTTTTAATAATTAAGTCTAAAGAAGGTAGACTTTGCTTTGAAAGAGACTGTTCGAAAGAATTTTTAGTAAAAGGTGCTACTAAAGCATCTTTGCAAACAGAAAATTTTGATGTAATTTGTTTTCCATACATTCTATTGAGTTTATATATAGTGCATACTATTATACTCGTAGTGTAATTAAACTAATGCTAATATAAGTCTTAAAATATTATATATTTTCCCTTAATCAAGAATTAATAGATGAATATTGTACCCTCAAGTAGCAGGTCAAAAGTTAATTTTTTTTTCTTTTCTTGTTTTTTAAAAAAGGAGGGTAAAGGAGTAAGGTAAAGGAGTATTTTTTTAAAAATAAATTTATTAGTAATTAGTATGCAGTTGCGAATTTTCTGCATTTTTAGGCATTTCTTCTGCACTTTTATAACTAGAGGTTGGCAGCTATGCATATCTCATCGACCCCTCATTTACCGCACACCCCTACTTGAAGTAATTCAACCTTTTAACCATGGTCACTGATAGTGCTACTGGCGAAGAGACCTCTTAAATTAGACTTCGCTTGGCAATACTTACACCTGATATCAGGCTGTAAGTTGTTTTCGAATTAAGGTACATGATGATTGACTCTTTGTGTCACATGTTTTTTTTCCACCTACGCTTTCAAGATGGAGTTCTTATTTTCAGGGATGGTGCAAAATCTACAAGTTTTTTTTTCAGGCTGTAATGTCAGGAGACTGTTTCTAGTCTTTGCCTAAATGTGGTGTTTGTTGGGAGTCAAAATTAACCACAATCACAACTTTACCAATAAATTGGAATGTAATTCACATCTTCAATTTTTTTTTTTTTTTTTACATTACTGTGGTGCATAATTTGGTAGAAAGTTTAAAGTAGATTGTGACAAATATAATTGTATACCTCAGAATGCATATGTAGTAGGGGGAAAGTAATGGATAACCCTTATAATTTTTGAACGGTTGGTTGAATTTTCATTCTGTAAAGTGTTATGGCTGTATCTCAAAGAAGTGTCCTAAAATATGTATAACCGTGGTGAAATACGCTTATGCTATTGCAAAAACATACTTTTCCCGAAGAAACATTTTAGTTTTTTTTCATACTTTATTGATTTAGCATCCAAAAATTACCCCTGAAACAAAATTTCATAGAGTTCTGACAATTAGAGAGGTCTATTAAAATTTGAGCATTTGGCTTAAAAAATGTAATGTCGCCTATTTTTGACTTTGGTAGAAAAAAGATTATCATAAAGCATCTTGGTAATTATGCTGCTTTTGAGTTACTCATTGTGTAAACCTACTGATTCACACTGGGACGTGAAAGTGACCTCAGAATTATTTAAAAAAAAACAAACAAACAAATTAATTGCAAAATTTTCTTTTCTGAAATAAAATCTAGGAAAAAAAGTGTTTTCTTTACTACTTTCGTTTCTGGGTAGGGTGCATATGGGCTCAGTGATTTTGCTTTAACAAAACTTTTTATTCCTGAAATCCTTATTTTTTAAATTTAATTCTTATAATTAAAAAGAAAAAAAAACTACTCTCTTTTACTCATTTCATTGCCTTGAAAGAAATATGCTTTTGAAGACAGAAATTGATCCTTTGCACTCAAAGTGTTTTAAGATGCTGTTTGAACTATGTAAGCACTAAAACATTTAAAATACATAATGTAGTATTTTTTTTATATAGTTTTAAAATTCTTAAAGTAACATGGTTACTAATTATTAAGTTATAAATAATATTTAATTTTAGAGTGGTGACTGTTGATTGTGCCTCAGGGGCGATATCGGAGTGCATTAAACTTAACTCGGTTCCTCCCTTATTCGAATATGATTGAGTATTTTTTATTGAAAATGTTACAAACTGATAGCACAATTATTTCATTAATAGCTTTTATCATATAAAACGACGAAGAGCAAGCTTATGTTTTGTGTGATCACTGTGAAATTTATTTAATATAAAACTTTGAATTTGGATCTCTAATTATATACTTATTAATTTTTAAAGAGGAAGTAGTAGCTAACATAATGAAGGTTTACTAATCGAAGAATGAAACTGATTTACAAATTCAGAAAAAGACAAAACAAGTAAATAACAATTAAAATAATTAATCAAAATGGAAAAGCGCTTAAAGCAGGTAAAACCAAATTTGTTTTATTTTAATTTAGAAAGTCAAAAATACTATTCTAGCAGAAAACGAAGAAGAAAAAATTATAAGATATGTGTGTAAGTTTACTTAATATCCACATTAATATACTATCATATTGATAGTACTATCTCATTTTGTGTAAAACCATCTTTAGAATCTTAATAATTCGAAATTTCAGGAATTCCAGAATGTCTATCTTAAACTATGAGAATTGAAAGAAACTAATTTTCAAGAAAGATTCATTTGACTTGTTTTCTTTTTTATATTTTTATTACTATTACAATAGCTTTTCTAATTGGAGATTGAAGCCACTTTAAATTCCAAATTGAAGATTAAGTCGTTCGTTTATGAGACTCCAACTACCATTGTAGTTTCAAAAAAATGTTTTTCTTAGTGGTATCTAGGTATTTACATTTTATTACGCCATCAACAGTTATCACTAGAGCCCGGATTTTGATGACCTAAAAAATCTCAATTAATGCCCTTAAAAGTGCAAAAAATGCCCTTACAAACTGCAAAAAATGCCCTTGAAAGTGCAAAAAATGCCCTTAAAATGCGAAAATTGCGCTAAAAATGCCTTATGACATGATTTAAATAGAAGTAAAAATATTGAACTAAAACAATGTTTTACTCTTTAAAATTATTATGAGTCGTTTCAAAAAATATAAAGCAATGCAATACTTGTTCTACGTTCATTAAAGTTTGACAAATATGTTTTATATCCAAAAATAACAAAAAAAGGAAAATATATTGACTCCAAAACATTTTCATTTTGTATAGAAACTTAAATGAATATAACAACTTCCATCTCATAATATTACTAAATATCAGAATTACAGTGAATTATTAATTTTTTTTTTTAATATCTTGAAATGTAAACGAACGTCTCTTGTCTGAAAGCAAATTTTTATACCAGGAGAAGCTTCTTTCAACGTCTACTGATGTTATTGGTGCGTACTTGAAAAGGACGGTCTCACTTACTGACAATTCTTCTTCAATTTGAAAAGATTTTGCTTCATCTTTTAATATCCTAGAGATTTTCTTCATTGTTTAGAAGCCAGTGTAATAATAAAAAATTATAAAAAATAATAAAAATTAGAAAAAAATTAACAAAAAATTTAAAAAATGCTTTAAAATGCAAAGTATGCTCCAAAATTTAAAGAAAATGCCCTATAAATCTCAAAAAATGCTCTAAAGGACAAAAACTGTCCAAAAAATGCAAATGTCATCAAAATCCGGGTCTTAGTCATCA